GCGTCTCTAGCCTCCTAAATTTCAAACGGCTGTATCTCGGCTTCTAGATATGCTAGAGAATTGATTTTTTTTGTGAACTAAAGCCGAGAAACAGTGCTTGTAGATTCAGAAGGCTAGATTCTAAGTTTCTCTACAATCTTGCTTTATTTCGAAATCAAAAAAAATTGAATTGCAGAATTTTGTTGCTAATCAAAAAATAGCTAAAATTTCCTTCAATTCTGTCCAAAAACCAAGTTTTTAACTCTTCTAAAAGCCGAGATATAGCCATTTGAAGTATCAGGAAGCTAGAGACGCAGTGTGTCTCGTCGTCTGGTGGCGTCTCTAACCTCCTAACCTTCAACTGGCTATATCTCGGCTCCCAGATGAGCTAGAAAGCTCGTTTTTAGACCAAATTGAAGCTCTCTTGATATTTTACAAATATTTAACACTTTTGCTCATTTTTCAATTTTTTTTTGAAATTCAAATTTTTTCTAAAATTGTCAGACTTTTTCTAATCGAGACACAGCTAAAATTTCCTCCAATTCTGTTTCAAAACAAGCTTTCTAGCTCTCCTGGGCGCCGAGATACATCCATTTAAAGATTAGGAGGTTAGAGACGCAGCGTGTCTTGTCGTCTGCCGTCTCTTGCCTTCCTAAACTTCAAATCGCTGTATCTCGGCTTCGAGATGAGCTATAAGCTTGGCTTTTGAGATAAAATCTGTGAAATTTTGAGTTTTATCTGAAGACATCCAATTTCTGCATTTTTGAAGTTTTTGAAAATTCTAAAAATCTGAAATACAGCTCTAAATTGATCATTTGCCTATGACTATGATAAGTTTGCAATTTGATATTGAAAACTGAGAAATTTAGAAAAAAAAAATTTTTTGGAAGCAAAAGTTTTGACTTTTTCGGGTCCGACTTTTTTTCAATTCCGGAAATTGAAAGTTTTAGAATTAAAAATTTTTTAAAAAACAAAATTGGTGTTTTTCAAAGTTCACTATGAAATACGAATCCAAACCGTCATTTTACAAGAAAAACCAACTTTCTAGCTCTCCTAGGAGCCGAGATATAACCATTTCAAATTAGCGAGGTTAGATACGCAGTGTGTCTCGTCGTCTGGCGTCTCTAGCTTCTTGAAACTTCAAATCGCTGTATCTCGGCTCTCCGTGCTCCGACTTGATTGGTTTTTGGCTCAAAATTTGTCAAAACCTTTGAAATTTTCAGAAAACGTTAAAAATTCTTTTTAAAAAAACTTACTCGTAATTTCGATATTAAATAAATAGGAAACAATTAAAGGGACCAAAATCATATATCTTGAAATTGCATAAATCGCATCCGCAACACAATTGCTAATTAATAAAATTCGCAGATTCTGGGAAAAAAATGGTAGCTGTAGCCTAGAAAACCCATGGGCCTAAGAAATTCTAGGCCAACTTACTTTGTGTAACGTGGTGGG